TTATTATTATTATTATTATTATTATTATTATTATTATTATTATTATTATTATTATTATTATTATTATTATTATTATTATTATTATTATTATTATTATTATTATTATTATTATTATTATTATTATTATTATTATTATTATTATTATTATTATTATTATTATTATTATTATTATTATTATTATTATTATTATTATTATTATTATTATTATTATTATTATTATTATTATTATTATTATTATTATTATTATTATTATTATTATTATTAATTATTATTATTACTTTTCTTATTATGATTACTTTGGGTGCCGCTACAAAAAACGAAATTAAATCATTTCGAAATAATTGGATTCAGTAGTTTTCAGGAAGAATGCAAGAAATTTCTCGTGAAATCACTTAGTTCAGTGAATATCAGCCAAAAGAGTAAAGCATATCAATGAGTCATTGTTGGTATTACTAGATTGTTCGCACGAAACTATAAGAGAGAATTCCCACGGGATTTATATTAGTCCAAAATTCCTCGCATTGGATCTACTCGGAAACTAAATCTTCATGCATCATAGATACCGGCCAACAATAATATCAGCCTAATCGTTGCATAAGATCTTTCATTTAACGAACAAATTATGAGTCAGCTACAGTGTAAGGGTCATTTCAAATATCAATAAAAAAATGTTTTGAGAGTCAATATGGTCAGTTGTTTGTCAAGATACTGAAAAATGAGTGCATTTTGAGAATATTAAAAAATGGAGTGTAGGTTTCGATAACATGTGCGCTAGAAAAGGTTAAGGAATGAACACTACGCCACTCCACATGGACCTACAAAATGGGTAACTTTAGTCAAGAGTTCCAAGCAGCTATAGAGCAAGAGGAATTGTTTAAGAAATAAGGTGAAGATATAATGACCTCATCATGCTTCGCTAAATTTTACCATCAGTTAAAACATGCTAGGCGCAGAAGTATCAAACAAGGGATAATTTCCTTAGCTAAAGTAATAAATGGATGATGATTTGAAGAGATGAATGAGATGAATTAAGTTATTTGGAGTGAGATTCTTCTGTCCATCTACTCCTACCTTACTTACCGCAATACAAATACGTTTATTTTGCATACAAAAAAAAAAACAAGTGTCATCAATGAGGACAAAAGGAAACAAAAAGTAGCTGCGAATTGCAATAAAACGTGAAATATTGATTAGAATCTTTTTCGTCCCACTTGTCTTTGTGATAATCTGTTAGATTAAGTCGGAAGCTTACTTACTCTCGGCGTATAAAATGAGAAACTTAGCAATTATATAGAGCCGTAAATCAAGTCACGCAAGGTACGATTAAAAAGCATTATTTTCATTGGAAAGTTTGTCACTAAATCCATAAACATACCGGAACATACTGGATTACGAATCCAGTTCGAAAGTTTGTATTTCAGGAATATTTCCGAAGAGAACCATAAGAAGAGGTAGTCCAAGATCCAAATGTTTTACATACCGTTCACAAAAAAAAGAAATGTCTCCAATTGTCGTGATGATAACATTTGCACTTCTACTAATGTTAAATTGATAAGTAACATTTTTTGATGAAATGTAGTTTTCGGAACATTTCATTTGCATATTAGCATAGTGAATGATAATAGAAAATCATGGGACAGATGATGAATGGGAGAGGAGAGAAGACGGGAGGATGGAATTATATGAAGGAGAGAAGAATTAGGGATCGTTAAATCAAGAATGGTGAGCAAACTGAAGTACTTCGCCTAATGTCGCGATTTTCTGAATGGATTTTCCTCAATAAAACTGTCACAATTCTGTCGGATGTATAAATCACTAAGATTAATATAATGAGCGAATCATTGCCAGTTTGCAACTAATGATTCGCCATGCTGCACCACTACTTAGTGCAAATAAATATTAAGAGCACATTCCATTAAAATTTGAATTTAAATATTTCCGAAAATTTGGCAAGTTTTTGAAATGATAAGCCTCCACTCCTTCGTATATTCCTACCACTTCCTCCTAGCTCTAGTTCCCAAAACTTCTAGATCTCAGCTTTGAAAATTATCGAAATGCCCAAAAATACTCCCAACAAATTCACGCACTGAATTAACAGTAGAAAATGTAAAAAAAAAAGTTCATTTATTCATTTTTTTTCCTCAATCGACGATGATACAGAATCGGCAAGAATTAAAATAAGGCTGAGAGATTGCCCTTACGTGCGGGGACCAATTAGTAGTCACTCCTTTATATAAATAATAATCCAATTTTGCCCGCCATATAACTCAATAAAGATGTAACTAATCGCAAAGAATAACTTAGCAGAATCAGTTTGGATTTGGAAAAAAAAAAGCATTGATTCTCTTTTCTCGTCGAATGGTATTTTGATCTGTACTGCGTTGAATTTTCTCGGTTCACATTATCAAATATCCATTTTTGACCTTTTGCCCATCTCCAAAATGTGACCAAAAAATTAAAAACGCAAAACGAGTAACTTGAAAAATACAAGATACGTATTAAATTTCTCCGGATAACCTACATTTATGCATATGTCAGTTATTGTTCCGTCCTCTTGTTGTGCCTCAGTGATATATCACGCTTACCTAATCAGACAACCCACTGCTCTGTTAAAACCTCATGTGAATCCCCCACTTAAGAAATGATTCGAAACTCATCATTCTAATTATTATACCTTCCTAGCAGATCCGAAAAAAGCAGATGAATACACTGTTGAAATGTCTAAATTTTTTTAAAGAACAAAGTATTGCACATTTTGTAAATCTATTGCTTAGTATTCCGTAAACTGGAGGTTTTGATTTCCGAATAGCTTGAGGATTTTGAATGAAAAAGATTTTATCGTTTCAAATTTATGCAACATTTGGCTGTCGCCATTACTGAAAATTAGTCAAAATTCGATTTCTACGTAGAGTATCAGTGCTTGAGAATGTGGATCGGATTGGAATCAATCGAATTTGTTGGGTCTTAGTCAGTACCAAACGCCACAATTTTCATATCTTTATTTTATGTTAATTTCACTTCCTATTTTAATGAACTAATTTAATGCGACACTATTTGAATTTTATCGCACTCAGAGCATCGCTTCTCAATTAGTATTGCCATCAAAAATTTGGCAAGGTTGAGCAAAGAATAAGACTGCTAATAAGATGTTGAAATGATGAAATTAGCAAGACTAATGAAATAATCTATGGAAAATATCAAACTGATAGCATGATATTTGCGATTCCAATTAAAATGAATTAAACTGGGTCAACTACTTTTTATCCACCATATTAAATAAATATTATATCACAACCATTACATCCAATAATTCTAAAAATCATGTGACATTAATTCTAATAAAATTATGTCCAAAATTCTTTGGGCTAATTTTTTTTCTTGATATATGAGTTTTCATTGCGAAATTCAAAAAAAATAGTTTCTCAAACGGGGCTCAAATCTAAGCTTGTGAAAGAGCAAATCTAGATAAGGATACAGGGAAGTATGTGCAAACTGCAGACCATTTAAATGAACCGTTTGCATTCTTGAAATCTGTTCTCGATATCTGAATAAGTGTATACAAAACGTAATGCAACTAGTAAAAGAAACTAACTGTTCTAGCATAGCAAGGAATTTGGAATGTCGAATCAAGGTGATAGCAAGTTGATGATATCGTCAAGAATGAAGGGTGCCAACTGATGGCAGCAGACCCTTTTACGTTGTTGCTGGTTATGTTCGATATTTGCGAAAACCATCACACGCATTAGGGAGCAGAATATAGAACGTCTATCACGTTCAAATGCAATAAATTGATCGAAAATTTTCAAATTTTAGTCAGTAATACGTTTTGGGATACAGAGGTAAGTAATGTTTGGCTTCTATGAATGTGTGAATTCGCGGATTCATGTCATGTTAAAGAAATGTTAGAAAAGATACTTGCCGCACAGTATTACAATGACCATAATTTTTTCCTCTATGGAGATACACCAACAACATAATCATTTAAAATATTTCAAAGTTCAGGGTTACTTGACATACTTCCAGAAAGATTACATACAAACTCGACAGGGAAACAAAAAGAAAAGAATTACCGATACCGTTGAAAAAAAGATAAGTGCACTGAGAGAATGACCACACACAATTCAAAGACAAAAAATGACGCACTCGTAAGAGTGTCACTGAAATTGAAGTAGAAAACATAGCAAAATTAAATCTGGCCTAGTAATAGCTTTTTTGAGCAACATAATTTTCACATCATGATATATTATAATTCGTTATCCTTTACTAAATAAACCGTTCTTGGCCATCTTACTTAGCCTTCCCATTGATATATCTATCGGGAAAAAATTTTGTAGTTTTATTTTTTATTATTGTAACTTTACAACGTTGACAGTAACCTTTATTAGTGTATTATATGATATGGTACAATATCTTACTGAAACAATACAATAATAGGGAGGAAATGAACAATACATAATAACTATTAAAGAATACCGAATAGTCTTTCGCTTGTACTATTGAACTGTCGTATTATTGCTTCTCTGCTGTTGAATCGTTGTCGTAGTTGACTGTCTGATTATGCTGTCTCCTTGAGTATTTGCACAAGCTATCTGACCAAGTAACTCAGCGAGCTGTCGAATTGCGAAACTGCGCGAGCCGTGGGATTGAGTGACCGCGGGAGCCGTCGAATTGAGTGACTGCTCGAGCTTTTTGCATTTTTGTAACTGCTCCTGCGGATGATTGACCCTAGCTCCTTATATAGTGGGAGCGGTTTAACATTCCAGACACATTAATTTAACTGCCAGACTAGAGGATCTTTACAAGATTTCG